TATATTTATCACATGGGTAATATTATATTGTATAAATTTACCACACTTTCTTTGTCCACTCTTTGGTTCTTGGACATCTAGATTGTTTCTAGGTTCTGGCTATTTGAATAAAGCTGCTAGTAATATAGTTGATCAAGAGTCCTTAAGATATGGTGAAGTGTCCTTTGGGCATATGGCCAGCAGTGGTATAGCTGGATCTTGATGTAGTTGTTTCCCCATTTTCTGAAAAACTGTCATATTCATTTAAAGTGGCTGTAAAAGTATATACCTACACATGCAAAGGAGGAGTGTCCCCTTGCTCCACATCCTCTCTAGTATGAGCTGTAACTTTTATTTCATCTTAGACATTCTGACAGGTATATGATAGAATCTCAGAGTCATTTTAATTTGCATTTCCCTGAAAGCTAAATATATTGAAAATTTCTTCAAGTGCTACTTGGTCATTTGAGTTTTATCTATTTAGAATTTTCTGTTTAGATCTGTACCACATTTTTAAATTGTATTATTTGTTGTGTTGACATTTTCATTGGTTTCTTTTTAATTGTTTACGATTTTTAATTTAAATTAAAAACAAGTTTGTTTACATGTCAATCCAAGTTCCCCCCCATTCGCCTCCTCCCCTACCCCCAACCAACACCCTATCTCAACTTCAAAGTCTCACATATCATTTGGAGCAAGGCCTTTCTTCCCCCCAACCACAAGTGTCTAGGCAGAGAGAGTATCCCTCTATGTGGAATGGACTCCACTACCAGAGGCCTATAGATTGCCCAGGCATCCTAACTGACACCCACATCCATGGGACCTGGGTCAGCCCTATCCTGGTTTCTCAGCTATCAGTGTGGGGTCCATGAGCTCTGCCTTGTTCAGGTCATCTGTTTCTGTGGGTTTCTGCAGCCTGGTCTTGACAACTTGGCTCAACACTCCTCCCTCTCTGCAACTTGATTACAGGAGTTCAGCTCAGTGTTTAGCTGTGGGTGTCTGCTTCTGCTACTTAATGAAGACTCTAGAATGGCATATGAGGTAGCCATCAATCTCTTTATTGGGGAAGGACATTTAAGGTAGTCTCTCCACTATTCCTTAGAATCTTGGAGTCATCATTGTAGATCTCTGTATAGTTCCCTAGTGCCGATTTCTCTTTAACCCTATAATAGCTCCCTCCATTATAGTATCTCTTTTCTTGCTCTCCTCAATTCTTCCCCTGACTCAATCTTCCTGCTCCCTCATGTCTTCCTCTCCCCTCCTCTTCTCCCATTCTCTTTCTTCTAACACCCTCTCCCTCCCCCACAATGTTCCTAATTTGCTCAAGAGTTCTTTTCCCTTTCCCCTTCTCTGGGGAACCATATATGTCTCTCTAAGGGTCCTCCTTGTTTCCTAGCTTCTCTGGCCATGTGGACTCTAGGCTGATAATCCTTTGCTCTATGTTTCATATCCATATATGAGTGAGTACATACCATGTTTATCTTTGGGACAGTGGGTTTTCTCACTCAGGATGGATTCTTCTAGTTCCATCCATTTGCTTGCAAATTTCAAGCTTCCATTAATTTTTTTCTGCTGAGTAGTATAAATGTACCACATTTTCTTGAGGGGCATCTAGGTTGCTTCCAAGTTCTGCCTATTACAAATAATGCTGCTATGAACATAGTTGAACAGATATCCTTGATATATTAATGTGCATCCTTTGGGTATATGCCTAAGAGTAGAATTGCTTTATCTTGTGGTACACTGATTCCCATTTTCCCGAGGAACCAATAAACTGATTTCCAAAATGGTTGCACAAGTTTGTACTCCCATCAGCAATGGAGGAGTGTTTCCCTTTCTCCACATCCTCTCCAATATAAATTGTCATTGATGTTTTTGATTTTCGCCATTCTGACAAAAGTAAGATGGTATCTTAGAGTTGTTTTGATTTGTATTTCCCTGATGGATAAGGATGTTGAGCACGTTCTTAGGTGTCTTTCAACCATTTTACATTCCTCTATTGAGAATTCTCTATTTAGTTCCATACCACACATTTTAATTGGATTATTTAGTGTTTTGGTGACTATCTTATTGTGTTCTTTGTATATTTTGGAAATCAGCCTCTGTCAGATATGGTGTAAGTGAATATCTTTTCTTATTCTGTGGGCTGCCATTTTATCTTGTTGACTGTGTCCTTTGCCTTACACAAGCTTCTCAATTTCAGTAGATCCCATTTATTGATTGTCAATATCAGTGCCTGTGATACTGATATTATCTTCAGTAAGCTATTTCATTTACCAATTTGTTCAAGAGTACCTCCAAGTTTCTCTTCTAAGGGGTTCAGTGTGACTGGATTTATGTTGAAGTCTTTGATCCATTTGGACTTAAGTTTTGTGCATAGTGATAGATATGGGTCTATCTGAAGTCTTCTATAGGCCAGCATCTAGTTATGCCTTCTGTTAACCAATGATTCTCTTGTAATAATATTATCCATTAATTTTGAAAGTGAAAGAATATTCCTAGATAAACAAAAACATCAATATCAATACGAACCAATAAATTTTTTTGCTCAGAATGAACGGTCCCAAGACTATAATTTGTATCCACATTACAAACTATTATCAGAATGATAGAAATATGCTTTTTAGGTTTACTCATTTAAAAATACAGAATATGCAAATGTTAATCTCATGATCTCATACTAAAGGGTTCTCTTAATGAGAAAAAATGCTCATATATATGTCAGAATTTTTAAAAGTCAGTTATTGTTTATATAACATTCATTTGAATTTGCTGAATTTCATTTCATAACTCCATAACTTCAGCAACTTGGATCTTTATGCTGATATTTGCCATATACTTTACATAAAGCAGGGTCTGTTTTTTGTTTTTTGTTTTTTTTTAACTCCTCTTCATAAAGCATTCTAGCTGGCTGGTTGAAAAGCTTCTGAGTGTTTAATTATTTCTGCTTCCCATCTTCCCATCTTGCCAGATGAAAACTAGGATCATATAAATGCATGTCCATGCAACATTACCTGGTTTCTTAGTATTCAAAATCAAGTCTTCACATTTGCGTGTCAAGTGTTTCCTACTGAGCTATATCTTCAGCCCTTGAGTCCCTATTATTATTTTTTTTTGTTTTTTGAGACAGGGTTTCTCTGTATTGTTTTGGAGGCTGTCCTGGAACTTGCTCTGTAGACCAAGCAGGCCTCGAACTCACAGAGAACCACCTGCCTATGCCTCCCAAGTGCTGGGATTAAAGGCATGGACCACCAACATCTGGCTGAGTCCCTACTTTTTATTTCAAAATTACTCATGTGCAGAAGAAACAGAAATTCTAGCATACAGCAAGCACATATATAGAGAGACAAAACTTATAGGAAATTATCAATGAAAATATGTATTATCAATTTTTCCTGAAGTTATTAATACATAACTCTTTTAATCTAATTAAAGTTATTTCATGAGTACTATATATTATAAATATGTTTGTCACATTTAATAGTAGATGTAACAAAAATAAATAAGAAGACATTAATAGACCAGATATATATGTAAAAATCCAAATTCTTTAATCTTACTTCATTCTCTCAGTATTACATATAGACACAAACACACACACACAAAAATCAACATTCCACGTTTAAACTCTGATTTGTTAGAAAATCTGTGAGGGAATCTAAGTATCTTATAATACTCTGAGTTAGAATTTTTGTTACACACTTTGCAAATAAGACAACTTTATAGTCCTTAAATAGGACTATATGGTAGAATGTCTGTTTCTTACACATGTGATTAATCAGTTTAGTATTCTCTACTGTTCTGAAAAATATGTTTTAAATAAGAACCCTATATTGAAAATAGTCCATAGTCTGGGAAAATGTTTTAGTCAGTAAAATCACTTGCCACCTGGATTAAGGTTACCATTATTCATACATACATACATACACAGAATGGCACATATGCACAAACACATACTAAACAAACTAAGTAGCAAAGTAACAGAAAGAAATGAAGAAAGAAATAAATTTTTAGGCATGCCAGAATCTCCAGTACCAACTAGTAAAAAGGATACAGGTGATCCCAAACATTCACTGGCCAGTCAGACCAGGAGAAATTAAAGAGAGTCCCTGTCAAGACATTAAGGTAGAGGGTAATAGATGAAGAAACTCTTGCTCAGGCCTAGGAATGAATGATTGCACGCTCATTCACACACATATGTGCATACATTACACCCATCCATACCTTATTCAGACACATTTTATTCACACAGAATACACCAAAAATAACTAATAAAAATTTAAAGTTAAAATATCCAGAAGATCAAGTTTACAAAGAGAGTATGTATATTGCATCTAGTACTGTTTCATTACAACTATTTTGAAGTATAGCCAACTAGAAATTAATTATAAAGCACTTATTTTCTCAATAATTGGCGAACATTCATTACTATATTCAATATTTCTATACTATGAAACTCATTCTTTATGGTTTCATATACTCTGAATACTGTTTCATGAACTTAATTACAATAGTCATATCACCAGTAAGAGTGTTTCCATCTGATGCTCTTGTTACACCCAAGGTCTAGAAATGATTGATCATCTTATCATCCCTACAATTGTATCCATTGCATAAGGTTATAGAATTGGCCCTGCATATATTGTAGCCTTCTATTTCTAGCTTCTTTGCCACCAGAGACACCCATATACTTTTATTTCTTTTCTATTGTGTTTTCTCATCTTTTATGCATTTAAATTGATAGTCAAAAAGCGATTTGCTAATAAATTCACTCTGTTGTTTATCCCTTCATTTATTACAGTGCTTTTGTGGAACAAATATAATTTATAATTATATAAATGAATTCTCTATTTATGTGACTTTGGAAATACTTCCTGATAAATCAGGCACTAATTGTAAACCCATCGGAAATCTCCAATGTACTCAAACAGATTACTAAAGTTTTAAGTTGGATATTACATATTTTATGTCAATGATAATAAAAATCATTTAAGAGTCTTTTGTTTTCTTCACCCTGACAGCTGCAGAAATAACAGTGCAGCCAACCGTGGAAGAAGCTTCTGACAACTGTACTCAAGAATGCCTCATTTTGGGCCACTCTGACTCCTGCTGGATGCCAGCTGCTCTCAGCCATCCCAGCCCTCCACAGATACAGATCACTGCTCTCTGCCACAGCCCACCCAGGACACACACATCTGTTCGTCGCTGCAGCCCTCCAGTGACACAGACCATCGCTCTCTGCCACAGCCCCCCTGTGACCCAGGCTATTGCACTGTGCCACAGCCCTCCACCAGTACAGGCATCTTCTCTCCAACACAGTCCTCCTTTATCACCACCAGCACAGGCCTCTATAGTCTGCTACAGCCCACCTCTGGCACAGGCTGTGGTCATTCACCGAAGTCCCCCTCTGCCACAGGCTGCTACACTCCATCGCAAACAGGCCCAAACAACAAAGAGTTTGCAGCAAGGATGGGTGCAGGGTGCTGGTGTTGATGAACTGCATCCCATCGATCAGGGAGTACAGGGTAGTTCAAGAGCTCAGTTTTACACCATTGAAAGAGTTCATTCTGACGATGACTCAATTAAAGTAATTCCACTGACCACCTTTACTTCAGGTAAAAAGGCCAGGTCCTCAAGGGGTGATTCTCCTGTCATAGAAGAGCATCCCTTGTAAAGCTTATCTGGACATTGCACATTTTCAAAAAGATGTACATATATATTCAAAGACTAACATTCAATTTTACCGAATATTCCAAAATGAGAGGTTTGTAAATAGCTCTGTAAATAGAACAGATACCAGAATAAAAATATAGCTAGACCCTTAGTCAAAAAATTATGAAACTAAAATTAAGATTTGTTTGATTTGGACTGTGAATTTTCAAAAGAAGTAATTTAAAAATTTATATCCTATGTACAGAAAGGCTTATCATGACAGATATTAATATCTAGTGTGCAATATTTCTGATGTACTTTAATGAATTTTTATTTTTTACCATAATGTGCAATATTACTGATTTCTTCCATTCTGATTTTTGTGGACTAAAAATTTACTTATTGGTAAATAGGCAAAGATATGATTTTATAAGGTCACTTTATCTAATCTTTTTTCTGATAAAATTAGATGGCATAATTTCTACAGCATTTTTGTTTGATTTATCTTCATTGTCTCTGGTTTCTTATTGTCCATATTTCTATCTTTAAAAATGTACAGTAGGTGGTGTAAATAAGATCTTTTACAGTTTTGTCTCTATTCCTGTTTTTTTATGTTTTCTACCTTTATTTCAAGAATATATTGTTGTAATTTGTATATACATTTTTTTCAAAAGAACATATATAAACTGTATAGACCTAGGTTTCAACCTATTTCTCTACTCTTTAGTAGAGTTCGAGACACTGAAGTGCAATAGCTATGCCCATATTAGGCAACAGTTAGCCAGACTGGGCCTGTGCTTTTTTATATTAATATATTTTATAGTGTGGTGTAAAGTACATCAGAAATACCATTTTGTCTGTCATGGTAAGCCTATATCCCAGTACAAATTGTGTATCTATCTTCTGAAATTTGTATATAAAAATCACAAGGAAGGTAGATATACTCAGTGCATTATTAGCTTAAAGCTATTAATGCAATGTGCTATTTTCTAAAGATGATTGGGGTGATTTAAATATTGATTTGACAGCTTAATGGCTGTTATTGAAAAATGCTCAGTACAAAGACCAAACAAATAAAATTGTACATAAAACCCCATACTAACTACAGAAGACTAAGGGATTTTTATCAGTCTAGCTCAATTTACTGAAGAAAACTACTGAAAACAAGACGACATTCAGGAAAGGACTTTTCAAGAGACTTAATTCTAAACCTACCAATTATATTACAGCACAGAATTTCAGGCAGATTTGCAGAGGGAGAAATAAGGTTCATGACTGCTTCTTGGGGTGGATATGAAATACCCCACTAACACACACTGAACAACAAAATCTCACATATGAGACAAATACATTATAAGCAAGAGTACAACAGTATCTGTAGGAAACATTAGTTTCCTTTTGTTGCCTACACTTTAGTTTCTGTTTTTGTCTACTTACCTGGCCGTTATAAATGTGTGCACATTTCACAAATTTACAAAACATCACAAACTTAATTTCTCCCCATAACAAAATCAAGAAAGTGTATTGTTTCAGTATCATAATAAACAAAGAATCAATTAATGTTTGGGTTGGGGGGTACTGAATATTTCCTGTTGATTAAATTAGATGTAGACTTTGTAATGTGTAACTTGGCAAAATGTAATTTATGATTAAGCTGTGTGTAAATGTTGTATTATAACTGTGGTTAAATGTATTATTTCATTAGTAAAATTTTCCATTGAATTTTGATAAAAGTTTTCATTCGTGTGCCAGGCAGGTTAAGTAGTGTTTTGAGAATATATTGTTCCTCTTGTGAAGTTCCTTAGATTGTATATGATTTGATGTATAGATTATCTCCTTAACATTTAACAAAAGTCTAACTAGTGAAATTTCAAATTAATTAGTAATATAGTGTTTTCCTTCTTTGTATTTGTTAGTGTTTCCAGGGATTTTTAAGCATACTGGTTTTTCCAGATGCACAAAACCCTCAAAAGATTGATGGTGTTTGAAACTTTACTGAAATAAGATCATGTATATGTATTGATATTGTTGTTGCTATTGTTGTTGTTAATAAAGATTCTTAACCTGGGGAAGATAAAGAAACCCAGAATGACAAAATCAGTGCTTCCAGTAGAGTTAGACTGCTGTTTTTCCTCTCAATACACACATGCTAAAACAAGAAAAGAAAAAAAAACCCAAACCACAATTATGTGAGTGAGAAATTTTAAGTATTTATAAATTTTCTTTCCATAACTAGTACATTTACATTCATACACATGTACACAAATTTGAAAGAAAATAAAAAACTAGGTAAATTTTACTAAATAATACATCAGAAATCTGAATGTTATTTGGATAATGGGACTGAGAAATCTGAATGAGACTTACTGAGTTACTATGGAAGCTCTTATATCCTTGTGTATAACAATTGGTGAAGTGTTGATACCTTTCCTAAAACTATAGGAATGAACAGATATGCTTTTGTTGCCCTTTCTAAATCTGGTTTTATAATCAGATTTAGACAGTGTTTAGGAAATTAAATGACTGGGCACTCTCTTCGGGTCTTATACCAGAGAGAAACTGAATGGAAGCAGGCTGGGATAGCCAAAGAGGCAAGGGGTGTGAGCCCAGTTATTCTCCCCTTTGCATTCTCTTTCTTAGCTTCCACTAGGTATAGCCTTGGAAACCTGGAATTTCCATGGCTTTTGATTTGATGAGATTATTCTCATTACATTACAAATTATTTGAATGGATGGGTAGAGCTATAGACTGACAAAGCTGACAAGTGGTTCTTTTGAAAAGCAACATATGTCATCAAAGAACTGCAAAATGTCTAAGTTTACCTTCAGTCAAAAAAATGTTTCCCTCAAAAAAAAGAAAAAACAACATTTGATTTTTTTTAACCTAGACAGTGATTTTGTATTTTCCGAATATGTAAGCCAGACTGGTTATTCTATATTGTGGCCATATTCAGTAAAAAAGTGACTATTAATTTTCTAGCTATAGCTTTAATATACACACTTGTAACTGTATTCAAACACTATGGTATTTCATGTGCTAAATACATACACATTCATTTCTCAAACTTTATCTCCAATTTTTAACTAATATTGTGTCCGTGTATTAAAACTAACCTTACATATGATACCAACAATGTAAACAATTTAGAGAGTACATTTTATGTAGTCTCATATAGTAATTTAACATTTTATTTTTAGTTATGCAAATTTGGTTGGGAAAATATTGTCAAATGACAGTGCTATTGTGCAATAGTGACAGTATGAAGAGATTCTGCCTTCTCAAACTAATGTTTGTCACACATTTTGCATTAAAGTGGTAAAATATTAGACTAAATAGATAATAAATTGGGCAGTCTTTAAAATACAATCATATCACATTCAAAAAGGTCACTTTCATTCCTGAATAAACTAAATAACATTACCCCTACACATATACTTAAACAGTTTTCTTTAATTATTTCATTAAAGCTGTATATGGATATATCTAATATACATTTATGGAAGAATAATGATTTGTAATTCATTGTTGTTATACTTTGTGGGTTTTTTCATTTTTTTTGTAAGACAAACCTTAGTTACATTGAAGTGATAGTTTTATCACAAATGTTGGATACTATTTTGCTATTCCAAATGGCCCAATTGACCTGGATACTATAGGAGTAGAGGAGCTGACTATATTTGGACAGAGACCGTTTTTATATCATGTGCCAATTACCACACTAGAGAATCTTATGCAGTGACTTTAAAATATTCATCCACGGTATCTTTCTTACACCAATGTTTCACCACCCATGTGCTTTTCATAAATATGATTGTTAATAGTACTGCAAGTTTACAATAGTATGAATACAGAAGAAAAGGCTGCTCATAAAAATGTGTGTATTCAAATAAAAAGAAAGAAGGCAACTGTTTTGTGATTGTATATGCTAATTTTAGGAATAAAATTTGTGAAACTTATGCTGTCCCTGCTTAAAATATTTGAATTTTATCAACTATGTGTTTATGTTTGTATTTGGGGAAAACTCCTTTGTGACATCATACAGCTTTTGAAAGTGACAAGTATCCCAAAGTATGGGATGCCTTGGAAGTGAAAGATTGCATACTTTTTGGACCAGTATGGCAGTATGTAGTCCAGTGATTACTGTGTATTAATTGCTCTATTTCAGGTTCTGTATTGCATGTTTTCTTATTCATAAATATAGATATTAATAAAGTAGTTATATGAAATAATCATGTTTGTATTATGTTTCTTTGAGAAGCAAAAATTCAAAAGCTGAGCAGGTACATTTGTCTAACACGTAAGACCATGGGTTCAAACACAAGCAATTTGAAAACAGTGACAATGATTTTGGGTTTGTTTTAAGCTATATTTGTGTTTAAATATACATAGTTTAAAATAAAAGCATATAGTTGATGGTGACACATTTTATAAATTTTCTATAATAGGCTCTTTTGTACTGTTTTCAAACAGTTACATGCTTTTCACAATAAAAACAACAGATATAACTATTACTACAAATTATATTGATTACACTATTTTATGTAATAGTTCCATGAAGATTTTTTGATCTGTGATTTGTATTAATCATAGGTCATCCAGGTTAAAGTATTTATGGGGAATATTGTTACTTTTGAGGAATAAAATGGTATCACTCTTGATTCACTTAGAGTTTAGTTTAATTGAAGGGAAACCTACCATGTTTCACAGTATCAATGAGTACAAAATTATCATTGACATTTTAATTTTCATTACAGTATGATAATTGCAGAATTTTACAATGTATTATTGTTTTTCTTCTCATACATTTTACTACCATGAATTATTTTATATATTCTACCTTAAGTGCTTGAAAACTCAAAATTAAATTACATGTTACATTTGGGATAATGATATTTTCTTTCAAATAAAACAAACCAGAACAAATGTAAATTTATCCTGAAGCAATGGGTTCAGAATTTTATTTTTATAATTTTTCTAACAAATTCATAGCCAGTTAAAGTATCTAATGATCAATAACAATATGAAAGCAACTAAAATTAAGTTTGTGAATTGAGACTGAAGGGAACCCCTAACTGTGGCTGTCTTCAAAACAAATATATTATGTACTTCCAATTTACACAGAATATGTATCCAATTACCAAAGAGGAATAGGAACATAGTGAGGAAAGGTCAGACTAAAATAAGACTGAAACCCTGCTGGGCAAATACTCCCTGTTTGCTGTTCTCCTTGACAAATTTCCATGACTCAAGCATCTCCAATATTTTCTGATTTCCATCACAATGCAGTACTCACACGTACAGCTTGACTCAAAGGCCTCTCAAAGCCTTATTGCAGGAGCTTGGTATCTTAAACAGATTTCCTGGCATTAGCCCCACTCTTTATGAAGGAAGAATTCATGTTTCATTAAATGCTACTGCACTCACCCCTGCAAAGCTGGCACCACTTGGACTACACAGTCAAGTTCAGCTTCCAGCTTGCAATGAACACTCTAGCCACGTTATTAATATAGTCTTTTTTCCTCCTCTGAAACCTCTTATTCTTGGACACCAAAATCCACATTGTTCTCAGACTCCAATAGAAAGGTCCATTAATATCTGATTTCAACCTTGTTTCTATTTCAAAGTTTCTATTTCAAAATCTTCTACATCCTTTCTAAAAATCAACATTATCAGGTTACTTACAACAAAAAACAAAAACAACTACAAAACCCCTTCAATTATTTGTTATCAAATTCCATCTCAGTTTGCTTTCTGTGATAAAATATCATGACTCTAAACCTCTTATAGTTTCACAGAGGGACAGAGAATCCCTAATGGATGGAAGAGTGTCTTATAGATTCTGGAAGAAAAAAAGTGACAAGTTGCATTTCATTCACAAAGAGAAATCAGAAAGAAAGATCATAAAATAGGACAAGGTCATAAAGTATCAAATCCCAACATCCCCGTTTCCTCTAGAAAGGCCACAACTTCTAAAATTTCCATAACCTTCCCAAACTGGGCTATCAAACAGGGACAAAGTGTTCCAATGCATAAGCATAGGGTAGGTGGCAGTTCCCATTCAAACCACTTAACTGAGCCAAACAATGGAACTTAGATTTGGTGGTGGTTTGATTTCAACATGTCAAGCATACTTATTCAACTACATATCTGGTTCTTGTTTTCATACCAAGTTTCAGAAAATAATTGTATAATTTTAGAAATGCACTGATTATCTTGGTTTTCTAATACCAAGTGATCAGCCCTGAAATCATACACAAACAAGTAACTCTTTACAGACTGAGCAGGTTGTATTTAAATATGAAGAAACACACAAAAATACTATACAGTTAAAGAAATAGAGACCATTTATTTGAGAGCAAGCAATGGGAAGGGTGAACTGAAAGGGTTCTGGGGAGAATAGGGAAGTGGAAGAACAAAACTGATGTAGTTAAATGGTAATTCCAAAAAACGCAGAGATATTTTGAGAGAACTTAAGAGAAAAAATACTGATCTGTTATAAAGAAGAGACACGTCTGTCAATAGATATCCTTCCAACATTAGACTTCAATTCACCTCTATACTAGCTTTGCTACCTGTTGGTACACTATTCAAATATTTGAACTTAATCTTTTAAACCAAGCAAACCACATGCTAAGAGCATCCCCGTGAGAAAGAAAAAATTGTTCTTGCATATCTATGAGGCAAATGCAGGATTCTGTCTCCAGTATCACTCTCTGGCTACCATCTTAGTCTGTAGAAACCTGACAAAATCACCATAGACAACAGTTCTTCCACTTGAAACTAGGAAACGTTTGTCACATGGGACTGTTTTGAGAATCTGTATGTTAAATATGAAGTTCACTATAATTATTGCCTTATATGTTTCCAGTGGATATTTACTAGTCTAAATGCAGGAATTAGGCCTCATTCCAATTAATGCATTATCTTTTTTTTTTCTTTTATCATTTTTTTATTTTAATTTTAAATAGCTTGTTTTACATGTCAATCCCAGTTCCCTCTCCCTCCCCTCCTCCCACACTCCCCTTCCCCCCAGTCTCCCACCCTATTGCCAATTCCTTCCACATAGGGGATATCTAGAGTCTGTCATTTCAATCCAGGTAGGGTCCAGGCACTCCCCTAAGAGTCCAGGCTGAGAGAGCATCCCTCTTTGAGCTATGGGCACAAGATGAGTGTTTGTATTACAGGGATAGACAATGATCCACTGCTCAGGGCCCCATAGGTTGCCCAGGTCTTCTCGCTGACACTCACATTTGGGGGGGTCCAGATCAGTCCCATGCTGGCCTCCCCACTGTCGGTCTGGTGTCCAAGAGCTCTCCCCTGTTCAGATCAGCTGTCTCTGCTGGTTTTGCCAGCCCATTCTTTGCCAATTTGCTCATCACTCCTCTGTCTCTGTCACTGGGTTCCTTGGGTTCAGTTCAGTGCTTAATTGTGTGTTTGCCTCTGCTTCTATTTATCACTGGATGAAGGCTCCCGGATGGTTATAGACATCAAGTTCATTATCAGGAATGGGCATTCGAGGTGGTCTCTCCACTATTGCTTAGCTTGCCAGTTGGTGTTATCCCTTTAGATCAATAGAGGTCACTCTGGTGCCTGATCTCTCTTCTAACCTATGATTCCCTCTTCCCCCTATTCTACCCAAACCCACGCAACTTCCTGTTCCCCCATGACCTACTCTCTCTTCCTCTTCTCCCCCTCTCTTCTTCCCAGCTCCCACTCCGCCCCACCCCTCGCCATGTTCCCCATCAATTCAGAGGATCTTGTCTCAATCCTCTTCTCTATGCATATATGCATATCTTTTAGGTTCTTTCCTGTTTCCCAGACTCGCTATCAGTGGAAGTGTGGACTGGCACTATCCTGATCCATGTCTATAATCCATATATGATTGAGTACATACCATATTTGTCTTTTTGCGACTGGGTTACCTCACTTAGGATGGTTTCTTCCAGTGCTATCCATTTACCTGCGAATTTCAAGATTCCATTGTTTTTTTTTACTGCTGAGTAATACTCCATTGTGCAAATGTACCACATTTTCTCTATCCACTCTTCAGTTGAGGGGCATCTAGGTTGCTTCCAGGTTCTGGCTATTACAAATAATGCTGCTAGGAACATAGTGGAGCAGATGCCCTTGTTGTATGAATTTGCCTCATTTGGATATATGCCTAAGAATGGAATTGCTGGGTCTTGTGGTAGGTTAATTCCCATTTTCCTGAGGAATCTCCACACTGATTTCCAAAGAGGCTGTACGAGTTGGCACTCCCACCAACAGTGGAGTAATGTTCCCCTCTCTCCATATCCTCTCCAGCATAAATTGTCTTAGGTGTTTGTGATTTCAGCCATTCTGACAGGAGTAAGATGGTATCTCAGAGTTGTTTTGATTTGCATTTCCCTGATGGCTAAGGATGTTTGAGCACTTTCTTAAGTGTCTCTTGGCCATTTTAGCCTCCTCTATTGAGAATTCTCTATTTAGTTCTGTACCCTACCTTTTAATTGGATCCTTTAGTGTTTTGGAGACTTGTTTCTTGAGTTCTTTGTAAATTTTGGAGATTAACCCTCTTTCAGATGTAGGTTTAGTGAATATCTTTTCCCATTCTGTGGACTGCCTTTTTGTCTTGTTGACTGTGTCCTTTGCCTTACAGAAGCTTTTTAGTTTCAGAAGGTCCCATTTGTTAATTGTCGATCTCAGTGTCTGTGTCACTGGTGTTATGTTAAGGAAGTGGTCTCCAGTACCAACTCTTTGAAGAGTATCTCCCACTTTCTCTTCTAAAGGTTTCAGTGTGGCTGGATTTATGTTGAGATCTTTGATCCATTTTGACTTAAGTTTTGTACAAGGCGATAAACATGGGTCTATCTGCAGTCTTCTGCATATCAGTAGCCAGTTATGCCAGCACCATTTGTTGAAGATGCTTTCTTTTTCCATTGTATAGTTTTAGCTTCTTTGTCAAAAATCAAGTGTTCATAGGTGTGTGAATTAAAATTAGGGCTTTCAATTCGGTTCCATTGGTCTACCTGCCTATTTTTATGTCAATACCAAGCTGTTTTCAGGACTATAGCTCTATAATAGAGCTTGAAGTCAGGTATGGTGATGCCTCCTGAAGTTCCTTTATTGTATAGGCATGTTTTGGCTTTCCTGGGCCTTTTGTTTTTCCATATAAAGTTGATTAATGCTCTTTCCAGGTCCTTGAAGAATTGTGATGGAATTTTGATAGGGATTGCATTGAATCTGTAGA